GCATTGTACAACAGAAATAAATGAAATTGTGCAGCTCAATTAATCTGTGTTCTCGACATCATGTTTGTGCCGAAAGTTTAGAGCATCCTTGCAATCTTTTTCAACCACCTGAAGAACGTTTTGAAAGTGTCCATCTGATCTAGCAGTATCAACAGTCTGAAGCCAGTTTAATACCTCTTTCAACCAATCATTTACAACGTTCACTGCTGCAATATTTTTTGCGCTGTTCAAGTATACCGCAGAGCTTTCCCACTCACTTATGGGGAGTTCAAGAAAGCTGGCGTCTATCTGCAGTCGATATATGGTAAACCAAGAGTCCTCTCCAATAGGTTCACACAGCTGTGTTGAGCTGTTTATGGATGACAGGAAAGTAGATTTACCCTATCCATTACCAAATCAATGGACTGGAGCTTGCAGGTCACACAATGATTGTGGTCTGAATTGTAGCAATGCATCAGCAATTGCTTGTCTCTCATTCAACGGTACGCAGGTACTGAATAGAGCAAGTGGGTGAAGTCTCGCCAGTCAAATACCAGAGACGATTTAGTGCTCAAATTGCAGAGTCTGAAATGAGCTTATCAACAGTCTTATAAACTAGTAGATGTTTGTAGAGCTGAAGATTATTCCATAATAAATCTACAGTTTTCTTGCATGTAAGCCACTATTGCATATACACATGAGGTATGAATGTGGCAAAGGTACACACTTTTTGCACTTAGTGTTGATTAGTAATGGTATCTGGGGGAAGCTCCCCAATCTGTGTCTCTAAAAGTGCAATTTTGAGAGTGTAGATCAGCTTTGCCATCTAACAGGTTTTATGTAGTGCACCAGGTCGTTTGAAAGTTACTAAGTGCTTCTCTGATGACAGGTATGGCAGTTTTAGCTCTGTAAATTCCTTATAGTCATCTCGCAGGAGCTCAACCTTTTCCACAGCAATGGCAATGGGCTCTTCCTTCATTATTGCCAGCAGCTCTTGGCTTGTAGGCTATGACCAGATACGCTCCCGCTTCCAGACCAAGCCTGAGGAAGTGAATTCCAAAGAACTGATTTTCGAGGAAAAAAACTAGACGAATAAAAGTTTTTGAAGCACTTAGGAACAGTAACAGAAAAAGGATGAGACTTGATTGAATGATGAGTAACACGAGAATGAATTTTAGTAGATGGCACAAGAGTATGTGGGCACTATAATGGGCACTGCTCTAAAAAGAGCTAGCTTTTTAGAGCAGTGCCCATTATAGTATTTTTAGAAAATAGAAAGAGAAGCAACATTACGATGATGTGACAAAGGTTGAAGGTTGGCTGCAAGAGCAGGTCCAACTATGTTTACAATACGTTTTTGCACTTAAAAAGAGTATAGGGCCAAGGATTGAATCTTGAGGAACCCCTGAGGTTACAGAATAAGAAGAAGAGTGCTGTCCATCAAGGACAACTTTTTAACTACGATTGGAAAGGAAGGATTCAACAATCTTGAAGATGTTTCCAGATACACCGTAAGAAGAAAGCTTATGGAGAAGACCAGCATGCCAAACTTTATCAAATGTTTTAGAATTGTCAAGAGCGATGGCTTTAACCTGTCTACCTTTATCTAATGCGCGAAAAAACCTATCAGTTATTACTGTTAGCAAATCAGCCGTAAAACAAGAAGATTAAAATCCATTTTGATGATCAGAAAGTAAGTTATTAGATTCAAGATAAGAGATTAAGTGTTTGTTAATTAAAGATTCAAAAACCTTGCTTATCATAGAAAGAAGACTAATGGGAAGGTAGTTAGATGAATCAGATCGCTCTCCAGAATTTTTAAAAATAGGGATAACAGATGCTGCTTTCCAGCAGGCTGGAAACAAGACTCTAATAAGCACTTGTTGAATAGTTTTAAAAGGATAGACGACAGCTACGGAGAACACTTCTGCAAGACTATAACAGGTATGTTGTCCGGGCAGCAAGCTGTAGAATTGTCTAAGCAGGAAATCACTTTAGATACGGAAGCTGGAGTGATATGGATGTTGAGCAATGGATCAAACTGTTTGACGCCTATATCAGGTAGAACGCAACTAGTGGAATCAAGAGATGATATTGATGAAAAGTTTTTAGCCAACAATTCAGTTTTGTCTTTAGGTGAGGTAACAAAGTCTGAATTATACATAAGAGGTGGAATTACAGACTTGCCCTTATTATTGATACTATTAAAGATTCTCCAGAAGTCACAAGAGCCTAATTTTTGTGATGAAATACAAGATTTCATGATCTGAGAATCAAAGTGGGCTTTGGTGTTAGACAAAACCTTTTTACAATGGTTCCTCGCAGTAATAAACAGACTAACAGAAACAAGATAAACTGTTTTCTGGAGAATTGTTTTGCTGATAGATATGGAAGTAATGGTTTCGATTGTCAATTGCAGCAGCACAATGTGAGGAAAACCATGGAGAAAAGTGAGGCTTGACCTGGAATCGTCAAGAGGGAATAAAGGATTCCATGCCAGCCTGAATCCACGAAGTTATGTAAGAACATAGTCATAAGAATACATAGTCTGGAAACATGAACCATCTCTATTGTTTTCTGATTTTAACTTGAAAACTACACGACTACCCAG